CAGATATGTATGACATTGAAGTTAAATTTACTTCTTTTGTTCAAAACAACTTAAGTAGACCTAAGTATAATTTAAAATGGCAATAAAACATTAAATATGATAACTAGAAATAAATTACAAATAACATAAAAATACTACAACATCAACTCTCAGCTTCATTTGAGACTCATACTCTCGTTAAGTCAAAAGCCACATTTAAACTATAAATTTTGTTAGTTTCATCATCCCCTCTCCCCCAGTTCCAGCATTTTACTGAATGTTTCAGATGTTGAGTAATGTCTGACCTTCATTTAAATCTGTCAACAATAAAATTAAATCGGAATATCATGTTTTCTGAAACAAACTTTATAAAACTTTTATAAAAAGTCGACTAGGTAGTATACAAGACAGTCTAACAATAATAATCACCTTTAAATTACACTTTGCTAATAATTGCAAAATCAAAAATGTGATTTAATCTTTAAAATAATCCATCTAAATCCACAAAACATTTTTTTCTATGAAAACTTTTTAAAACTAAATATGACATTTAAATCAAATCAATTCCCCCTACAGAAATATAAAAACAACAATCGTTGTCCTTCAAGAAATGCAATATGTAATGCAATTTAATGTAAAATGTAATCTTTTATCTGCTTTTGTAAAGATCTCTTTGATTTATTCACACTTTTTCATGTACAGTAAATTGCGTGTTGAACTGTGTTCCTATACCTGAAATCTAAAAAAGCAGAAATAGAAACAAAGAAAAAGAACAATACAAAAAAAAGGTGGTTCTGTTTCAAACAGAGGTAAGTGGAAATAAAGATTCAGTTCACAGACACTGAAACAGTAAAACAGTCTCTTCAGCAAATGCTCCTCTATAAATTACTGCTCCCTGTTTGGCAGCATGACCCCCTCCTGTTATTTATAGGCAGATGACCGAATCATAGTTTGACTGTAACGTCTCTGTGCAGCTCGATTTGTCGTGTCCAGTAACACAATATGACAGACTGGAGGCCCAGTCCTGCGGTGTGGGATCGGTTCTAGTTGAAGGTATCCTCTCTGATCCCAGTGTAGCTCTGGCTGGACATTCTTGCTTGTAATACTTGTGTCTTGGCCAACAGAGTACATATTCCATCTGGATGCCATCACTGTGCACGTTGATTGTGTTGTTTGTGACAAGAGCTGGACTGCATTCATGTTTTAAACAACATCAGTCCAGCGAGCAGCAGCAGCTTTTCTGGCATGAATGCTCTTAGAAAAAAATGAGCATTTAGGTCGTAAAGACGTCCTCACTCGTGTTTGACTTTTCAATGGAGTTATACGTTTTTGCATTTTGGAGACATATTGAGGCCAGGTGGGAAGCTGGGAAAGACGGTCCCATGAAGCTGTGATGTGAGCAGGAGAACAAACAGGTTAGGAAACTGAAAACTGTACAAGGAGATGAAGTGTCCCTGATGAGGAGCAGAGGAATGTTCAGAGGAGCTGGACCATCTGAATGGAGTTTATGAGAAAGACGGGGAGCTCTTGAAGGCATTCTAATGTAAGACGTGCCAAGTCTAGAAGGGAACTAAATGTTTAGTGGAGCGCTAGTGTTTTTGTCTGTGTCAACTTTTTGACACTTGCAGAAAGTAATTATTAGTTCATCTGATTCATTTTTGACGTCATCTTGACTGACCCTAACTCTATTCCAGATCACTCCTGGCAGTAAGGCGTCTACTGCCGACTTGTGTCCTGGTGATGTCATCCTGGCCATAGAGGGGGTCCCCGCTGCCAACATGCTGCACTGTGAAGCCCAAAGCAAGATTAAAGAAGCCACCAGTCAGCTCGGTCTGACTGTTGAAAGGTTGGTGTTGCACAAAAAAAGAAAATGGTTAAATACTCTGTTTCTTAAAGCAATAGTTCAGATAATCTTAGAGTTTAGAAACAGGTTATAGACAAACAATATCTTACCTGCTGTAGATGTCTCTTTAAGCTACTTCAGTTTGTAAACATAGTTTTATTCTGACCAGACTGACAAGCTAGTACCTTGTTTGAGTAGTTTGAGTTTGACCGATTCATCCCAAAGATCCAGTCCCCCGGCACAAACAGTAATATTGTGTATGCTGTTCAGTGTCAGGAGGGTGATCAGTCTTACATCGGGGAAACTAAACAGCCACTGGCCAAAAGGATGACCCAGCACAGAAGATCAACATCATCAGGCCAGGACTCTGCGGTCTACACTCATCTCCAGGCCAGCGGTCACTCTTTCAGGGATGAAGATGTTCACATCCTGGACAGAGAGGAATGATGGTTTGAGAGAGGAGTAAAGGAGGCCATCTTTGTGAAAAGAAATCGTCCATCATTAAACAGGGGTGGAGGCCTCCGGGTTCAACTGTCCCCCTCTTACAATGCTGTGATTGCTAGTATCACTCAGCCCTCTGTGAATAGTAAACAGCCATCAGTGTGCTAATGATCCATTGTTAGGCTGATGGTCCTTCTTGAGCATGTGATCAGCTGGTTTTGGTTGTCAGCAGCAAAACTGGTTGATCCACTCTGAGAAGGTGCTATTTAAGAGACTGAGTTTGTTGCAGCTCCTCAGACTGAGGAAGTCCTTTGGATAAAAGACGAAGCATTTCAACAAAGAAGAACCGGTCCAGGGGACCTGACTTAATATTTTTAGACTAAATTATATTGTTGCCATAAAGCTAAGGTGTTTAAACGATCTCTTATTGAATTTATCTCGGATTTGAACTGGACTCTGTGCTTCAGACAGTGCACACTGACAGATGTAAGGCTTTGACCAAAACCTACATGTCATATTGATTTCACTGTAGTTTTTCATTTGAACTAATAGCCTTATCAAACACACCCTCTTTGAAGTCCAGAAGCAACATCTTTTTTTTTTCCTTCTTAAGAGCAGGAGCACCATTATACTTCACAAAGTTTCGCTGATGTGATTTGAGACTATCATTTTCGCACGGACTATTCATACTGTGAGGAGAAGCAGTGGGGGAGAAGTCGTAATACGTCCTCCCTCTGCAGCACACGTCACTCAGAATCAACCCAGACGGCACGGTTTCAGACTGTATTTTTAGTTGCTGATAAAAGAGTTGGAGGAGGAACATCTGGTATTTCTGTTGTTAACTGAGGAGAAATGCTAGTTTGTACATTTGTCACAAAGAGGCCTCCATTTCTGACAGATGGTGAAGGAACATGGCTGAGGAGCACTCCTTCCCAGTCTATGGAGAGCTGTCTGTGCTCTCTCCTCTGCACTAAACGTGCCAATCTCCTTAGACAAGTTCTTTGACTATCTCTATCAGTTTTATTTGACTTTTTAACTGCAACAGTTGTACGGATGGTTGGATTTTCTCACACCTTCGGCCAGCAGATCCTTAGCAGCTGCTGCTCTGTGGCTACTTTTCATCAACAAACATCACCACAAAGTTCTGACCTCCCACAGAATACTCAGTGCAAAGTGCTGTGAGAACTAGTTCTGACTGGGGGGCAAGGCAGAAGACGGTGTCTCCGCAGGTGGTGAGAGTAAAACAATATGGAATTTTTGACGTGCGCCGGCTTAAAACTAAGAGTAGGAAAAATATGAAAGATAATAAAAGTAAGAAAATAATTCAACAATTAGACATACCGTGCTTGCCGCCGTACAAGTCGCGTCAGTCCAAAAATGTCTAATAAAGTGGGGAAAAGCATAAATAAGTCACTTCGCCGTATAAGTCGCATCTATTACGCGTCACCGCTGACCACCTGGAAATGTTGGCCGGTGTTGTATCAAAAATCGATTGACTGCCAAATGGCGGCCGCAGGAGCGTGGACAGGAGGACTTTTAACAAGATTATCACTTAAAAACAATTATTTGCCCCCACCCTCATTCACCCCACTCTGGGCCCATGAGCAAGGCCCTTAACCCCCACCATGTGCTCCCTAAACAGGTCTCTCTTGAAAATGAGTTCTCGTGGCTCAATGAGACTAACCTGGATAAATAAAGGCTAAATGAAAAAAAAAAAAAAAATTGTTTGCTCGAAATTATAGCAAAGGTGAATCTCAGTCTAATTTTTCCTTAATAAATGCACTTTAATTATCAAATCAGCTGCATTTTTCCTGGGTGGTGCAGTGAAATGCAGCTGATTTGACGTTTGCTCCAGTTCTGCAGCAAGACGAAGGTGGCTTTGTATGGCAAGCCGAGTGTCTCATTAATAGCCACTTTTACCTTTTAATGACACTTGGCTTGCCACATTTCTCGAGGGCCCTCTAGTGGCTGAAAATGGTAGTGTTCAATGTTTTCCATGTCAGAATGAATGAAATCATCAGACTCAGCCATAACTTGGGTTATAAATATGGAGAAAAAACATGTATATTAGTCACTTTGGTGTATAAGTCACAGGACTTGCAAATTTATGCAAACAGGTGTGACTTATATGGTGAAAAATATGATAAATCACCAATAAAATAACAAGACCAAACTGGAATGAAATTTCAAGGAATTTCACTTTCTTCTGCAAACTTGAAGACAAAGTTTATATTTTGAAATGTCATGTTGACGTGTTCTGTGTGCATAATCTCAGGAATGAATCCAGACTATGGTCTCCTCGTGTGATGGAGGAAGGGAGAGCTCATCCATTTAAAATAAACCTGGAAGCAGAGCAGCAGGTTTGTAAGACTTTTTTCAACTTTACTGTTAATAGACTTGATGCTTCCCCTAGTTTTTTCCCCTCATTATTAGAATAAAAATGTGTATTTGTCTCCTTCTGTTATCTAAAGGAGCATAAACCGATTGGCACAGCACACAACCGGAGAGCTCAGCCGTTTGTCGCAGCCGCAAACATCGATGACAAGCGCCAGGTGGTCAGCACGTCCTACAACACTCCCATAGGCCTCTACTCCTCTGGCAACATCCAGGACGCCATGGAGGGTCAGATGCGAGGCCTGGTTCACCCCAAGTCTGACAGGTGGTTGCTGCAACAAATTGTGTTCAACCAGTTCACAATTACACACAAACACACACACAAAAACCTGTCCAAATCCTAATTCTGAACTAAATGGATGCTGATTCAAACTCAGTTTCAGTTTTGTTCCAATTATAACGTGATAAATTCTCATATATCGGTTTTCATGCATCCTTCAGTGACAAATCTTTTCAAAGTTTTGTACCATTATGGGGAGTGGTGGCGCAGAGGTTAGAGAAGATGGTCCTGTGATCAGAACGTCGCAGGTTCACCTCCCGGTACCGTTAACATAAAAAGTGGGTGGCAAAGGTGAAACACCCACACCTGCCTCCACCCTCATTCGCCCCACTCTGGGCCCCTGAGCAAGGCCCTTAACCCCCATCTGCTCCCTAAACAGGTCTCTCTTGAAAATGAGTTCTCGTGGCTCACCTGTATAAATAAATAAAGGGTAAATGAAAAAAAAATTAATTATGCAGAAGGCAGTCCTGGTAATGGGGCGGCACGGTGGCACAATCGGTAGAGCTGCCGCCTCTCATTGAGAAGGTTGCTGGATCGAATCCCAGCCGGGGGCCTTTCTGGGTGGAGTTTGCATGTTCACTCTGTGCATGCGTGGGTTTTCTCCGGGTACTCCGGTTTGGTAACTAAATTGTCCCTAGGTGAGTGAGAGAGTGAATGGTTGTCTGTCTTGTTTGTCTCTGGACTGGAGACCTGTCCAGGGTGTCCCCCACCTCTCGCACAGTGACTGCTGGATATGGGCACCAGTGACCCCTGCGACCCAAAAAGGAAGAGGTGGGTAAAGATAATGGATGGATGGATGGATGGATGGATGGATGGATGGATGGATGGATGGATGGATGGATGGATGGAAGGATGGACAGTCCTGGTAAAATTTTTAAGGTGGAAGTTAAAAGACATTCTGTCATTTGGTCCAACTGCCCTGAATGAGATAAAATCTAACAAAACACTTGCTGAAGAATAAAACTGTAAGCTGTACAAGAGGCGCATAAAAAGGAAGATAATAATTGTATTTTGTATGCATTTTTATTTATTTATTTATTAGAACACCAAACACAAAGATACCCCATCCCAAATCTATGGATAAATACAGATAAATATATACGGTAACGGGGAAAAAAAAATGTTCTGTACCACGTACAGAAAATAACCACTGCCAAAATCAGGAGTGCAGTGAAGAAAACGCTGCTTGCTTTGTGTGCACTTCATGACTTTCTTTTGTGTAGACCTTTATTACTTATAAATCCACATCAATAAGAGTTTTTATTGAAATTACTTCATTAACTGAGACTTTAACCTTCCACCTTACATTTTATACTTCTGATTAATATTTACTTTTAATTATGACGCATTAGATTCATACACCGGCAGGGAACGAAAATTTGTCACCAATCAGACGTTTTTTGAAACAAACGTAGCTCATCTTTAACAATAAAATATTTATCCTACACAACAACAAAAAATATATACATATATTTTGAAACATTTTTATTTTATTATTTCATTTTTATTAAATTTTTTTTAAGTTTTCATTCTTCAATGTAAAATGGTGAGTAGTTCCAGATGGGCAGCACCCTAGCGCCCCCTACAGGCGAGCCGCCCTTATGGCGGCATACTTGACTTTTAAAAACATGGCAGCTTCACAAAAAGCTGAGTTTGCATTTGATGATTGCTTGAGAAGTCCATTTGTCCTTGTTTAAATCCTTTTACTGCCTGATCTTTTTTATTGAGTTTAGCCTTTATCCACCGGAATTAGCCTATTGTTGCTTTGACTTTGGTATTAATTTTTAAACCTAAAATTTTACAATTTCTGCAAGGACTAACACTTGAACATTTAAGTGAGGGTTTGTTTTAATGTTAATGTCTTATCTGTTATGGAGATTTGAATGAATCAACTTAGCTTTCGCAACATCAAAAACATAAATTATGACACTGAATGCAATATTTGATGTTGAAATTATGTGAAATACCACAGGTTAAAGGTAGTAGCTTTGTACAAAAAAGAAGCTGTCCTTAAAAAACTTAGCATTTTATAAATTAAAAAAATTGATTGTTTAATTTAATCTGAGTTTGCTGTGGTGCAACCATCAGGATCAAAATAACATTTTTCTTCAAATTGTTTCAAAAAGTAATGTTTGGACAAATTCATACAAAACCAGTCAAATTTGCTCAAACCTACATGTTCCTGTTAATAGCCAAGCTGCAGCATTTGGATGAGCTGGAGACGGGAAAGTGAAGCCTGACTGACCCCAACATTTGTGTGTTACAGTTGTCCAGCCAAGATGTAACAAATGCACGGACTAATTTTTCAAGGTCAGATCTGGACAGCATGAACTTAAGTTTAGCGATCTGCCTTAATTGGAAGAAGTTTTTTTTTTTAAAGAACAGAGTTAATCTGTTTATCCTTCCATCCATCCATTATCTTTTACCATTCCTTCTTCCATTTTGGGTCATGGGGGTCGCCGGTGCCCATGTCCAGCAATCACTGTGTGAGGGGCGGGGTACACCCTGGACAGGTCTCCAGTCCATCACAGGGCCACATAGAGACAAACAAGACAAACAACCATTCACTTTCTCACTCACACCTAGGGACAATTTAGAGTTACCAATCAGCCTAACATGCATGTTTTTTGGTCTGTGGGAGGAAACCGGAGTACCTGAAGAAAACCCATGCATGCACGGAGAGAACATGCAAACTACATCTGTTTATTGAACTTAAATTCCAAGTCTAACACCATCCCAAGATTCGTAACAGACTGCTTAAGATAAGGCTGAAGAGAGTCATGATTAGCGGGATCAGTGACAGCAGTAGAGCTAGGGCTAAACACAATGACTTCAATTTTTTGATCATTGAAACTTAAAAAATTTGAAGCCATCCATGCCTTGATATCATCAAGAAGACATTTTAACAGAGGGCAAATGGAGCTGGAGCTGTTGGGTTTTAAGGGCAGATAAATCTGACAGTCATCAGCATAACAATGAAATGAAAGACCATATTTCCTCAGGATAGACCCCAAGGAGAGCAGATGCAATGAGAACAGAAGGGGCCCACGAACGGAGCCTTGTGGGACCCCGCAGGAAAATAGCCATATATCAAGTCTCTCTTGTAAATGAGTTCCCGAGGTTCAATGGGAGTAATCAGTATAAATAAAGGTTGAATGAATATCATCTGTTGTCCATTTTTACAAAAACCACTTGCTATCCAGACACTGACATGAACAGAGCTTCGTTAGCTAAAAGCATTTTTAGGCTGTTTCACGGTTTGTATGTAACAAAGAAGTCTCATAACTTTTGCATAAGCAAATAAACATCTAACACGACAAAAAGAATGTCTTGATTGTGCATCAACATTTTGTAAATCACCACAAAAAGTATTCTGTCTGTAAAACTTTAATATTTGATATTTACCTTGCTTAAAGGCAAAGTTAGCATGCTGCAGCCTCCTCAGATATTTGGCTCGTTTGTGTACGAAGCAACGTGTACTTGACGTGTACTTGTGTCTCTGAATGCTCAGTCCCAGGACTCTGAGCAGCATCGAGGATTCTGATGTGTACCGGATGTTGCAGAAAGAAGAAGCAGAGCCCCAGGAACCTCGGCAGTCTGGTTCCTTTAAAGCCCTGCAGGAGTTTATCGACAGTGATGGTGAGCTTTTCCTTCCCAGATGATGCATTTCCTCCAAAACAATAAAAGCATTTCTCAGGAGCTTTTCCACAGACGCTCGGCTAACTTTAGCAGCAGATGTTTGCAGCTTCTCAGTCAGCATACCTGCTCATGTTTGTGCTAAACCTGGGCTATTCAACTGGTGGCCCAGGGGCCCAATTAGGCCCACGGGTGAGCTCAGTTCGGCCAAGGTTAATTTTTAAATAAAACTAGATTTTAAACCATAAAACAAATTTAATGACAATAACTGCTGAATGTCTGGACCCTGAGCTCTTGACTTTCAGTAACTGTGTCCCTGAGCAATTTAGTTGAATAGCCCTGTGCTAACTCTTCATAATAGAATACCTTAGTGTGTGTTTTGATTGTGTTTATTTTTCTTTCTTTTTTAATTGAGTGGATTCTGAATTAGCTTTCACACCCCACCCCATCCCCCAGCCTTTATTTTTATATACAGTTTTGTAGTTTACCTACCTCTGCCATACTGTGTGCTATAGTTGTCATTCATATTTCAAAACATTCATGTCATTCAGGATATGGATGCTATATTTGTTGGTCTGTGTAAGTTTTCAATTTACTTAACTTTAATAAATATTTTCCTCATATAAATATATTGAAATTGCTTCAGTTCATCCAAAAAAATCTTTGAAACCTGCTTCATCATTTCTTTACTTTTTTGCTACATCTCTGCTACTTTAGTTTTTAGGTAGCCTTTAGCTACTTTTAGCGTCTACGTTTGTTTCGGTACTTTTATCTCATGCTTTATCTCATTTAAGCATTTAGCTAGTGTTCTTTTACTTTTAGCTTTTACATTACACTTATTAATTTATTTATTTATTTCAATTAGATCTTGTGCTTTTCTTCTTTTCGCTTTTAGCTAACTTTCTGCTTTGTTTTTAGCTGGGGTTTTACAACTTTCAGCTAACATATTATTTTAGCTTTTGCCAGGCGTTTTGCTTATCGTATATTAGCTTTTAGCTAATGTTCATTTTTGTTTTTAACTGGTGTTCTGCTCCTTTTAGCATTCTGCTAGCCTCTTGCTTCTTGTAACTTTTAACTAGGCTTTTACTATTTATAACCTTTAGCTGGTGTCTTTGGTATTTTTAACAAGTGTTCTAGCTACTTTTAGCTTGACTTAGTGTTTTGCTGCTTTTGAGTTTTATCTTGAGCTAATCTTTTGTTTTTATCTTTCAGCCAGTCTTTTAATATTTTTTGCTTTCAACTATCTTCATTCCTTTTAGCTTTTAGCTACTGTTTAGCTGCTATTATTATTTTTTTTTTTTGAGCTACTAGAACTGTTCTGCTTCTTTTACTTGTAAATACAGTATTTGATTTCAGTTTCTTCAGCTCATAAGCCTTTCAGCACAATTGCAGGAAATGCCTTTTGTTTTGGTTTACTTAATTTATCCACATGATTAACGTGTTGTAGCCAAACTGAGGCAAATATTAAAACAACAACCATTAACCAACCTTAAGCTTTTATTTTATAATACATTGTTGCATAAAAGACTAGAGGAAATACAGAGGTTCCTAACAGTAATGAGACTTTTTTTATTACCGTGTTTCTTCTTTATTCAAGTGCTGTTAAAGCAGCATAATCTGTCAATACAAAAGCACTTCTCTGTGTTTGTCCTCCACTGAACAGAAACCAAATTGTCCTGCTGGAGTTTAACTATAAAATATGGTTAGAACCAAAAGGAATCGTCAATTAGGAGACAAGAGGTTATTGTACATCCCTCAAGTGTTCTTGCCTCATATCTCTCAAGTGTTTTCCTTTAATTTATGCCCTCCAGCCATTCAGGCTTGTTTTGTTCAGTGGTTTCTCTCTGCCCTGGTCAGGCACTCGGCCCATTGTGACTCGGACCGTGAAGGCCCCCACAACCAAAGCTGCTCCGCCTACAGGAAACCTGCAGAAACTGCCCATCTGCGACAAGTGTGGGAACGGGATTGTGTGAGTGAAAATAGAATCACATGTGGCTCACGTTAGGGCTGAGCATGCATCAATATGTTCATTAAATAAGATAAAATGTTCTGGTACATCTCAGTTTAATGTAATAGAAACAAACATCTCATGTGATGCGTTGGCATTTAGCATAAGTACTAAGAAAATTACACACCAGAGCAATGAAACATGACATAGGATAAACAAATGAAAATATATATGAATAAAACTGGCAGCATTTTAAGTGCATTATGGGTGAATGAATCACCAACCCCACTCTATCCCCCCCCTCCAAAAAAAAAATATATATATATCAGTTACTGTTGGATAAATTAATTACCCTTTCATCAACTCATTACTTAAATAAGCCATGCAAGAGAATAACGAGGAGATTTTTCAACCCAGTTTTACTTGCGTGAGGCGCAGAATTGAAAACAGGCTTACAAAGATGTTACTGTGGTCACAAGGTCTGCCTGCAGACAGCATAAAGAAGTCTACTTATAATACTAATCAGAGGTGATGTCAAGACGGCCTCTGCTTCACAGCTCACAGATTTGAAGGCATCAGAAGTTGTCAGTTATGCAGGCTCCTTTCTGAGTAGACAAAAAGACTCTAACACATGGTTCTACAATAATTTAACATCAGTAAGTGATTACATCCATGACCTTTACATAAATACCCCTGACAGTTACTCTTTGAAAATGTTTTAAGTAGGCCTGTCACGATAACATATTTTGCTGGGCGATTAATTGTCTCAGAAATTATTGCGATAAACGATAATATCGTTTGCAATTTGACAATAATTAGTAATTATTGCCCCTTGACGTGACATGGGCTGTCTCTCGTTCCTGCTTTTTGGTTCTCAAAATGGCGGACGCTCGGTGTGGTTTGAGCTCTTTAGCATAGCATTTTTCACACAAAGCTTTTAATAAAAACATCTGTAAACAAGTTCTCAGCTTCTTTTTGCAGAGAAAAACAACTTTTTACAGAACGGCACGGGTTTCAAACGTGAATTTTGGAGCTTTGACAAGACGGAGTTTTTTCCTGAGGTCGGCCTGTTAGCTTAGCTCGTAACGTAGCTTCTCAGCTTTGCTGCTTTTAACGATCCAAAAACTGATTTTGGACGGTTAAAACAGAGTTGAGCTTTTTGTCATCCAGTGTCTTCAGTAGAAAGAGAGAGACGAAGAAATAATGAAGCTGATAAATTGAAATGAGGTTGAAAGTTTTCATTTATCATGCGATTAAATGTTTGTTTATTGTGACAGGCCTAGTTTGAAGATAATAGTAAAATATATAATAAATGATAAATGTTCTCTTTTTTGCACATTCAAAGTAGTGGGTGCATATTTCTGAACAGTAAATGATGAAGTTGCTCAAATCATTGCTGTAAACTGATTTCTGTGGGTTTGTGATGCTGCAGCGGGACGGTGGTGAAAGCTCGGGACACGTACCATCATCCCGGCTGCTTTGTGTGCTCCGACTGCGACGTCAACCTGAAACAGATGGGTTACTTCTTCGTGGAAGGGCAGCTGTACTGCGAGATTCATGCTCGAGCCAGAATGAGACCACCGGAGGGCCACGACCTCATCACCACCTTTCCCTCTGCATAAATCCGTCCTTCATGGGCACAGGCACCAACACTTTGGTTGACCCTCTCAGGTTCTACATCTGTGTTTTATGAGTTTATCTGCACGCTGATGGGCAGAATAATCTTAACAGTGCGCCGCACAGCAGCGTGTGTTCACATGATCGCCTTTCACAACAAATAACTGAGCATTCTGGTTATTTAAAGAGGAATCCAGTTACATTTAGGATGTGATATTGTACTGTAATTAGATTTAAAATAAACACATCTAAATTAAAGAGTTTTAACAAATGCTCATCTAGGATCATTTGTGTGTGTGTGTGTGTGTGTCCTTGTTCAACACCAAACTGAGGTATCTCCCACTCAACTCTCTTCTTGAGCGGTGTAAAATCTGAAGTCCATAATTTTCTATTGTTGACACCATTAAATGAAAGCACAATTACATAATGCATAGTACCAGGCAATTTGTTATGCAGCTGTTAAATGTGACACTTTGGGTTTTTCAGGTAATGTTCTGTGTATTATAGGGATAATTTAGGGTGTTTTAGGTGAGTTTCTGTAGAAACATTACCCTTTAATATATGTGCGAGATGGCTCTTTAATCCAGGGGTTCCCAGCCCTGGTCCTTGAGGAACACCATCCTGCATGCTTTAGTTGTTTCTCTGCTCTGACACACCTGCTTTTAATTAATGGGTAATTAACAGGTTTCTGCAGAACTTTCTTTTTTTTTTGGCTACTCCCTTCTTTATGGGTCGCCACAGCGAACTCAGTCGCACGAAGACTTGGCAATTATTTTTACGCCGGATGCCCTTCCTGACACAACCACAGACCACCGAGCTACCACAGCCCTCTGTGTGGAGCAGAGAGCTGCTATCTAGGGTGCCCGGGGGAGCAGATGGTGGAGGTTAAGGGCCTTGCTCAAGGCAAATGAGGGTGGAGGTAGGTATGGATGCTTCACCTTTCCTACCCACATTTTGATGTTGTCAGTACCCGGAGTTGAACCGACGATCTTCCGATCACAGACCCACCTTCTCTAACCTCTGCACCACCACTCCCTCATTCTGCAGAATGTGAGGAAGTAATTAAATCACTGAATCAGGTGTGTTGAAGCAGGGAAACAACTAAAACATGCAGGACGGTGTTCCTCAAGGACCAGTGTTGGGAACCACTGTGTTTAATCAATGGCTAGTCTGAGCAAATCTGATCAAAGATGACAGCTGCCATCTTAAAACAACTCCAGTTTCAAAAATATTTGTTTCACTTCACACAAACACTATTTCAAAAACATTTACACTCTCACTCTTACAAATTCAGATTTAAAAAAAAAAAATTTATATATAAAATTCATTGGTTACAGTGAAGGCCAAGCTGACTGGTGGTTCATATCGATGATTGCAAAATGAAACTTACCAGGTGCAACTTGGCATAGAAACTTTATGAAAGCAATGCAACGTTTAAAAACAAATGTTTACGCAATAAAAATGTAAACTTGAACATTTTAATCTGATTTTAGACCACTTTTGATGACTGTTCATTCATTTATATATATATATATATATATATATATATATATATATATATATTTATTTATTTAGTATAATTCTTTTAAATAGTTTTGCAGTAAAACCATGTTTCACACAAATCATTGTTGGTAACAAACCAAAGATCATATAATCCCAATGTGACTTGGTCTAAATCTTTACAAAACATTGTTTGCATGAACTGCAACAATTTCTTTTAGAGTGGAGATTAAAATATTTTAGGACAATAGTTTTCCACTTTGGTCTTCTTGACCCAACTTGGTCTATCTGTTTTCTCATTAATGTGTTCAGAACAGGCACCATTCAAAAAGTGATCTACAACAGGTAAGATATTAACTGTTGGCAACCTTTCTACAGAACACTACTTTAAAATGTCTGAATCATCACTTTAAAACCTTGAACGTTGGCTTATATGGTAATGTACACCTTCAGCATTCTACTTTAATTCACTGTAATACTTGGGAAACTAATTATTCATGCCATACAATAACAAAATTTGTATAATAATAATAAAAATAAAGCAATAATACCTGCCTTTTTATCTTCAGTTGTGATGACGTCTATGTCCTGATACACAAACTGTGGAAAGATGAAAACATAGTTTTATTACCATTATGAGCTTCCCATGATAAATAATTGGTTATTGGATTGAAAATAAATGTATGTTTGATATTTTTTATTCAAATACAAAATAAAAATACATCTTCATGCATTTAATTATTCTGTGCACGTTTAATAAAACATTTTATCTACAACAAACCCTGTATGAGAACGGTTTCTGTTCATTTAATAATGTTTATGAAGAATTCACACTATTGTGATCCATTCCGTACATTTTTCGAAGCGATACTCATTCCACATTTTGTGTACTATTTCAACAATTCATATATAAAAACGTTCAGCTCTTTTAGGAAAAGGGTACTAGGACTTTTGGTATTAGTGCAACTTTAGCTTTTTGAAATATTTAGCCTTTTCTGCCACTTTTTCCTCATAGAAAATGAACTGAGCTCATTTTACATCCGTCAAATCTTTGAATCTGTTTACAACCTTTTACTGCTCCTTTCACATTTTGTTCTGCTTCAGCTTCTTTCAGCTTCCTATGCAGTTGTAAATGTTTTGTCAGCTGTTTTGTGCTTCTTTCAGATTATTTCTGCTAACTACAAAATTTCTGTGCTTCTTCTAAATTATTTCAGCTAATTTTAGCTGGTTTCCTCTCAACCAGTTTGGACAAGTTTCAGCTTTTTCTGCTATTTCAGCTACTATTTAGCTGTTTTTATGCTAATTTTAGCTTTTTCTATTCATTCCACATTTTTTGCACTCATTTCAACTTTTTTCAACCTAATTCAGAAAAAATGTGCTCTCTCCACTTCCTTCTTGCAATTTAAGCTTCTTTCTGCCTTTTTTAAGCTAGTTTTTAGCTTTTTTTAACTTATTTTTCTCATTCATTCAAACTTTATTTATACAGGTTAGTCTCTTTGAGCCATGAGGACTCATTTACAAAAGAGACCTGTTTTAAACAACGAACACAGATGAGGTACAGACAACAATAGACAATCATATAAAAAGTATATAAAATAAAGTAAATAAAAGAAATTATATTAAAACAAAACAAAAACAGCTACATTATAAAGCAATATAAAATACTACAAACAGACATTAAAGACATTATTAGAAATTATTATTCCAGCTTTTTTCAGATAATTTTGATGTTTTGTGCTCATTTCTTTTTCTTTCAGCCTAATTGGACAAACATGTTCTTTCTGCTTTCTTCTGCTAATTGAAGCTTCTTCTACCATTTCAGCTACCATTAAAGGATTTTAAAGCTAATTTCAGCTGTTTTCAAATAAATTCAAGGTTTTTTTTTTGTGGTAATTTCTGCTACTTTCAGCCTAGTTAACTTCATTTTGCGAATTTCAGCTTGTTATGCTCCTTTCAGCTTTTTCTGCTCTTTCAACTGATATTTAACTGGTTTAATGCAAATTTTTAGCTTTTTCAGCTAATTCCACTTTTTTTTTTTTGTTCAGCTCTTTCCAGTTCCTTCTGGTAGGTTAAGCTTCTTTCTGTCTTTTCAGCTACCATTCAGCTGTTTTTTGTTGTTGTTGTTTTTATGCTAATTTCAGCTTTTTAGCTGATTTCCTGATTTCTGAGCTCATTTCTGCTTATTTAAACCTAATTCAGCAAATATGTGTTCTTTCTGTTTTCTTCTGCTAATCTAGGCTTGTTCTTACATTTCAGCTACACGTCAGCATGTTTTTAGCTCATTTCAGCTGTTTTTCAGCAGGTTCATCTGCAATAAGCATTCACACTGCATTTTCACAGGAAATGCACTTTCTTTAGTTTCCTATTTCAAATCTATCCTGTCTCCACACATGATAGATTGGAGCAGAAACAGCAGAGCCATGTAAGTGGCCAGGTGTAGAAAAAAATAAAAATAAAACCCGTTTTCAACATTTAGTCAATTTCAATATTTAGTAAATATTAAGTTTAACACAACTATAGTGTTTATGTGCAGCAGGTGTGTGCAGCTGTGTTTTCAGTTCCTGGAATAGTTTGGATTATATGTGACGAAGTTGTTAAACAAACATTTAATAATGTTGATGTAAGGAGTTAATATGTCTAATATAAAACAGAAACTGATGCGTTGTTTTGTAATAATACAATTCGCTTGTTAAAATCTGCATGAATCCAGGATTTCTGCTCATTTTCTGAATTTCTAGGGAATTCATTGAATACACCGCTCACTTCTAATCACCACATTTGTACTATTCCGATTGTACAGGTACTTCTCAGTACAGTGTTTGTTTTTTGATAGATGTAAATTCATTATAAAAAAAAAGGTCAAAGGAATTTTAAAATGTTAATTTCAATTTACGTAAAATGTTTTTGTTGTAAATATCCATGTAAATCACAAATACAGTCGTCGTCATGTTATCAAGGGATTCACCTCCTCTTAAGCAGTGGACACATTTCAGGACAACAAAAAGACATGAAGGGACTTTGCCAAAGATTTGTTTTTTTTGTTTGTTTTTTTAGAAATTAAGACACATACTCTATAATAGAAATATATTTTAAGTTTAATTTTCCTTTATTTATATTTATATATATACACACAAAATATATATATACTAAAAACTAATTCCACACTTTTTCCACACCTTGTAAGAAAGCACAAACACTGTGACTTCAGCTATTTTAATTTTCTTGATGACCTTCATAAAACATGCTGCAGATGTTTTTTTATAATTTAGTAAAATAAGACTATGTTTGAAGATAGGGGCTGTGGTAGCTCAGTGGTCAGTGTAATCCTGAGGTTGTGGGTTCGAGCCCAGGTTGCGTTAGGAAATGCATCCGGCGTAAAACAAATAACCAAATCTTTCATATAAGTTTTCTCTCTGTGGTGACCTCTGAAGAAGGAAGCAGCCAAAAGAAACTAATGAAATAAGATTGCCTATATTGTCATGCTGGCATCCCTTTGAAATAGCAGATTAATGATAATCTCCTAAAAATAAATATACTTTTAAAGAAGCCAGATTTACTAATAGGACACTATTTTTCATTTGCACCGTCTCGGTCAATATAATGTTACTCCTTTTTGCTACTGACTTCACTTTTCTATGGCACAACTGAATTGTTCAGACAAAAATCAATCCTCCACCGGCAACATAACATTAATCTAAAATTAATATGTACCAGCTGGAGCCAAGAGATGTTTGTGTGGATGAATTAAAATCCTTTGACTTTTGAAAGTCCAAAG